TAACTCTTTGAGTCCCAAGGAACGCATCATACGTTCTTATGTTACTGCCTAGAAGCCCAATGAACGCACGATGCGCCGATTTTACGTCTCTTTTGACTACCCCTTGGACCTGTGACGCTAAACCCTATGTGACTCGAAGAGTTAAGGAGTCTTGTGACGAGTGGTTTAATTATCATGTGTAGCGACCTAACGGTTGTGAATTTTTAGTTGTGGGTTTCTTGCTTTAGTTAAGATTACAGGTGTCTCTGTAGACCTCTAGATTTCTCATTACTGCAGCTATGCAATTCGTAATCTGCGCGACTTTAACAGCCGCTTTGCTGAAAGAGACCTAGCCTATGAGATGAAACAGTGCAATTAAATCAATCCAGTCGACTTGAAACATCTTTTAAACGCACATCCTTATTGAATTTCGGTGAAGAGATTCCGGTTTTCCGTTGGTGTTCTATCAACCGTGAAGGAATCTTAGCCTCATAACGGACCCCCTGTTTAGAGGATTTGGAAGTAATCCTTTGATCCGTTTGCATAAATCGAACAACACAGCTGGCATGGGATTTGGCAGACAGATTGCACGGTTTTCTTGCAGATAAAACATGGTACAGCTGGGGTTGTCTTTGTTATGTAATCCTAGATCGTCATGCTTCAACTTTATAATATAATTTTGATATGGTTGGTTGGCTTGGAATCTCTAGGTAGACTTTTGAGTTTGAAGTAATGCCATTCGGGCCATCTATTCTTCTTCTTTGTGTTTACCGGCTGTAAAACTCCGGCGGAAAATTGTAGTTGTTTATCCATTTTTGACTTCAGACTTGTTCCAGAAGTTGGGTTTTGAGTGCACATCCGTTTTACAGATTTGGCTTACTTGTATGCATACTGGTAATTCTCAGGCAGATGCACTCCGACTTCGAAGGAGTCTGCTGATTTTCACGCTTTTCTTCATTACACGTCCTCTTTTCTCTCTTCCTGCAAAGACTCCATTACTTTCCACCAGCCTCTACGCCCCTGTGCCAGGAGAACGATCACTTTCACCACAAGGTTCTAGAAATGTTGGACTTCTTCCCGCTCCGAGGGTATCCCGAACATGTCTTATCTGCTGCCTTTCACCGAGCACGGTCTGTTCATCATGCTGAGGCTCTCGTCTCCATGCCTAAACGTCACCACAACATACCAATTCTCATACTAACCTATGACATTCACAACATCCGGGCTAAAAATATTCTACTCAAGCATCTCTTCATCCTTAGGGCTGACCCTACAACTAGCAAGATTTTCTCTGAACTTCCTCTAGTGGCCTACAGGTATGACCTGTAGGACATTCTAGTTAAGAGTCGGTTACGTCCTGCCTCCGAGCCTCACTTCGGGACGGTCTTTTGCTATAGACCTGTATGCACGACCTTTCCATATGTGGTTCAAGGTACCAGCCCGGAATTCCTAATTGCGACCTTCCACATAGGTGAAGCTTTCCATTGCACGAGCCGTAACCTAATTTACGCCATCAAGTGTAAGAGATGTGACATTAAATACATCGGTGAAAGGGTTTACGACTGGCTGACAGGTTCAGACAACATCTTTTGGACGTGCAGAACGGTGCCCTGAAACCAGTACCACTGCATTTCAATTACCATGACCACCAAGGTGTCCACGAAATGGAGGTGACAGCCATTTAGTCTATCCACTCCAGCGACAGAGTTCACAAGTCTCTTGAAAATCTCTTCATGTACACTTTGGGAACTCTGGCGCACAGTGGACTAAACTGCCAATACAGCTTTATCTAAATCTTAGGGCTCTGTCTACACAATTTCATCTTATCCTCGAGTGACGGTCCTTGGCATATCCCCGGATATTTATTGTTTATACCCCACGCGCCTCGCCAGACTATTGTCTTGACATCGACCTGGCTGCAACGAGATACGAAAATAAGTGATATTGTGTCTTTGTGTGGTATTGTTTATTCTAATTATGTGCTAAAGAAGGCTCCATAGCTGCAACGTTGACGTTTTGTTTGTGTTTGTTATATTGTGAAGCTCGCTGATAGACTTTTCGTATGGTTTTATATCTTTCCCTGAGGAAACAAAAGAACCCATCCCCACGCCTTTAAGCGTATTGGGAATATAGGGCTAGACCTATATTTTTATAGACCAATCGGCACTTGGTGGATGATTTGGTCAGCATTACGTCGGCTGCCTTTACTTTCAAGTACTGCACCTGGTACCCAGTCAGGGCTGGGTCGACCTAGGAGTCAAGATCATTAAAAAAAATTATGGCTCCGTCTGGACGAGAACCCACGAGACTTCGAAGGAAAACCCCTACGTAATCACCTTTTACGACATGCTTGTTAAAGAGCAGTGGATCTATTATATTTCTTCACTAAAATGGGAGCCAGGAAACCACACCGGGACTTTCTGGGTAACTTAACAACACATATGTGGAAAGAGAGTTGGTATAGAGAATTTCCCTTTGACCCATAAAAAGCAAAGGTAGATTCATGCATGATACAAGTTAG